AAATTTTTCTTATTGGATTTTTTGAAGTAAGTTAAATAAAAATAGCAAAAAATGTGGCAAAAATTATTAAACTTTTTTAAAATGTTTGAGATTCTTTCCTATTTTCGCTATGCATAGAAAAATTAAGCTAATTTTTAGTTTAAGCAGTATATATACAGGATGTCCTATTTTGATACAGACAAACTTTTAGTGGTAGACATAAAAATATATATTTTCTTTTTGGTTTTATAAATATGTACCACAGAGGTAAAGAATCGTATATCCAATTTTATAGATTTAGAGATAATGAGGTTTAAAGTTTTAAAATTTAATAATTATTTTTTTTTATAGAAATTAATAAAATACAACAGTTTATTTTTTTAAGTATTTATTCAAGAAAGTCAATTGACATATATTTTACCTTACAAATGCCAATAAACATATCTACCTCGATAGAATTAGTGGCACTTGCGATTCTTTATCACTGAATAAATAAACAGGTAAATGTTAAAAAACTTAAGCCTTAACTCCAAAAAAATATAGGAAATATTACGAGAAAAGGTTTTAATGATTATAGTTCAGTCTGTATCAGATTCTCTAACTTTCTGATCGGTTATTCTCACATCCCCAACTAGTCATTCATAAAAGTGTATTTGTTGTGAAGTTCTCATCAGCATATATTGTATAGTCCAGGAGACAGTGACGATTTTCGGTATTTATTTTCCCAGTCAGCAAGCACGAATAGAGAATTGTAGGATTAGCGATTCTAAACAAAATTCATATATATTTAGAGGGGGGATCCGATGGGCTATGGCCAAAAATGCGTCAAAACATACGAGAACACGGCCCTTTTTTCCATTGATAAAAATAGTTTTAGTAGTAAGAGATGTACTGAAGTTAAGTAAAAAAATAGTCTGATTAATCTGTATGGATAAAATATTTGGCAAGTGCATAAAATACACTTTCAAACGAGTTATGTACATAATTATTTCTACGACCACAATTATTTAAAGAATGTTCCAGGTGTTTTGTATATTAAAGTGTACGCATAGGACACATAAATAAAATCTTATATCACAATGTTTCACCTAACCAGTTGGTTTATTTATAGAAATTAAACATAATAATTGAAGATATTACAGAAGAAAATAGGGAAATAAATTACATTTCCTTTTACACTTTTATATAATAATTGTTTAATTTAGAATTCACGAATCACTTATTACTCTACATTAATTATAATTATTTTTAGTTTTGTTATGTCAAATCATTTATACTAGAGGTGTGAGGAAAATACAGTAAACTGTGGAACGCCAATATCGTTGGATGCGCGTGGTAGAAATGGTCCTATAATACTGCTAAAAACATAGCTAAATTTTCATGGAAACACTGTACTTTTGACATTTGCGATACTCCGACGCATATGCATTATTGATGTAATTTTATGATTTTACAGTAATAGTTTTTGCAATTTTAGTGTGATTTTTAGGTTATTATGGTTATTCATTTTATTTGGTTCTGATCTTTTGCGCTTTTAGAGTATTTGTCTTTTATATGGTGATGGTGGGTGAGGTTTTCCGGGTTTTCCTCACCTGTAAGTCAAATGGCACCATTAATCATCTTTAAGTCGCCCCGGAGTGCCACGGCAAATAATAATAATAGCCGTCCCTTCCCCTACACAAGTCGTTCAGTAGACTTCAGGGGTTGAAATTCACTCGTAAGGGGGTGAATTAGGGAGAGTATTATTATTATTATTATTATTATTATTATTATTATTATTATTATTATTATTATTATTATTATTATTATTATTATTATTATTATTATTATTATTATTATTATTATTATTATTATATAGTTTTTAATTTGAATTTTAATATTGTGTTCTATTTATATTTTATTGCTGCTTTTCGACTAGTGCTTTATTCTTTTTGTGTTAAAATAAGCTTTATAACCATTAAGTACATGCTTCTAGTTGATATCTACCTAATCGTCATCGGGTGCTTGCAACAATGGGAAAAAGTGTATGGTTTTTTTGGTGTAAAGTTAGATGCCTTCATTTTTCAGGTAAGTTATTTGTAGTTATTTTTTACTTAAAAGGATAGCAATACGTCCTGGTTCGGGGTGTGACTTTTGGGTTTTAGCTATCTGAGCCAAATTGTCGGCTAAGTGTCCTCTTTTAGGGCACCCAGAACCGAAAACTATATAGGTATATAATATGTTTTTTTTTAATTATTTTTTAATATGTATGCAGCTTGGATGAGGGCTTTAGGAAGAGATCCTAAGACTGGACACTGACTGCTATAAATGCCGTTTTTAGAGCACATTTCATAGTAAGTGATTTCATTCTAGCAGGAATGAGGAAACGTTTAAAAAACATGCTGTACCAGCTATTACTTTAAGACCTCGTCTCTTTAAGTTATAATTACTTCATTCTAATGCATATATTAAAATGATTTTTAACTTATGTCCTTATGATTAAAAGATGTAGGTATTTTAGTTATGTTATAATAGAAATATATGATACTTTGTATTGACTGACCTACTGGCCATTCCACTTTTACTCCCTTTTTTCATAAATTATCAAATGATTTAAAAACAAATACATACCTAGCTATTTTCTGTAAATTACATTAAAATTTTAGTATTAATACTTTACTAATAAAACTTTAGTTAATTTATCTTATATATACACAACGGAAGAGTTAATTGGATTTTCTCCTTGTTGAGTTTCAAAAATAGTAATTTAACATGATTTAAAAACAAATACATGAAATAGGCAAAATAGGCCTGCAAAGGCACTTTGTAAACAATCTCACTTGTATCGATGTGACGTAATGCGCGAATTCAATCTGGCTTACTTTTGTTAATAGATTGGCGTTCCATTTTAAATATACAGTTCACTGGGAATAGATTATTTAAATATACACGGACCGGGAAAACAAGTACGAAAAAATTCACTGGCTCCTGGACTAGTACTGTATCGAAGGAATTTTTATGAATGAAACAATATACCACCCTCCACAATTGCGGTCTACTCTACTTCCGCTGTTGTCAGACATTATTTTTTTTGAACAATTTAAAGACCTAACAGTAATTCAAGCAAACGCAATATCATTACTACAGTTAAAAACATCGCAAACTTGGCATCAATATTTTAATTTTATCCAAATATTGCATTTGTGTCGAGGATCATCCGCGTTGACTTCAGAAATTTTGTAATCTGTATTGGTTATATATATATCTATATTAAAAGCACGTAAACTTGGCATCAATGTTCAATCCGATTATTGAGTTTCTACCGCGGACACCACCGTTCATTCTTCAAAATTTTTGTAAATAATCCTATCTGTCTTGGTTATATATCTATGGTTATTCTCATGTTTTTATAAAAGTCATGAAATTGAGAAGGTATCCACTCAAATAAATTCAAAAGATGTTGATGTTCTTTAGAGCCTATACCTTTGGAAATTTTCCGAATTGCAGGCAACTCATGTGGAATAGAATTTTTTTTTCTGGAAAATCTATTCAAATCAACATTTTTAAATTCGTTTTCGGTAAAGTCTGTTTTATAATGAAGCAGATCTGAACTTTGACAACGTACTTCTAGCCATACTGCTGATGAAAATAAATAAGGAAGTTCTCTTTTTCTGTATTGATTTTTCGATTAAAAAATAGGGCATTTGAAGATGTGTACAAAAGATCAAAATTTTTGAAATCAGTTACTTCCATGTTCCAAACTGTAGCCCCAGTTGATCTAATCAACTGTTGCCAATCCCAAGGTGTAGCTATCGTCATTGTTGGCTGCTTTTCTACGGTCGGCTCAATCAGAGCATGAACATGGTCTGCTTCCATATGAGTATGACCTCTGAGAAGAAACTTATTATGTATTACTGATTTCAAGAAGGGACAACTATTCAAAAGATAAAAGTACTTTACAGCCATCATGATATTTCGATTTTGGCTGGGCAATTGTCAGACCAAATTATCAATGTCTCTGTGTCCATTTTAGCAAAGCCGATGCAATTTCATGCCCCCCTCTTCCAGCAACAGATTTATCCCAAACCATGTAATAAGCTTTTTTTTCTGTGGCATCATATATTGTTAAATTTAAGGTCCAAAGCTTTAGTGAATAAAAACTTTTAGCGTTGGTTAGATGGGGAGTTGGTAAGCACTTTCGTAAATCTAACATGATAACCTTAGTTTTTTCTCCTGCCGCTACTTTATCTTGTTTCTTCCAGCTATAGTGAATTTCAGCATCTTTTAGGTGAGAATCAATTTTTTCTTAAATGGTTGCTCGTCTTCTGAGGGACTTTCTTGTAATGCCATTTTCAAACTATCGCACATATCACAAGTGTCATTCGAGGGTAGTTTAAATCCTAAATTAAACTCTGTATTGAAGATAGGGCGATATACCCAAGGCTTAGCAATCTGACTCTTTGGAAGACCTTCTTCCTCACATTTGAGTTTGTTCAGACTGAACATCTTGTTTGTATTAAGTTCGCTTCCCAAGTACATCCTTTTCTTAATTTTTTCACGACTATAGTGGGTTTCATAAACTGGAAAAGACCGAATATGAGTGCGAATCCCTTCCTTAATAACCTCAGGCAACTTATTCTTTGGTTCGTGTCTCCCGCGCATGTCTTGTGAAACAAAGCCTTCTCTTTTTGATTTTTTCAATGCGTTTCTAACCACTGTCTCGGATATCCCTAATGAATTCAATAATAATTTTTCTATCAACTTCAAAGTTATAACGTATTGTCTGTTTTCTCTGTTCGTCTCTTGTGCTAGTTGACGGCCTCTTCCGTTTAATTGGAGAACTTTTTATTCTGGAAAGCATAAACTGTCGTTTGAGGTCCCAACTTTTATTTTCATTCCAATAGTTGTTGAATATTTTTTCACGATTCAACTCGTTAATTTTATCGGTACATTTTTTTTCTACCACAACCACGTCTTATCTTTTTTGCACTAATATTTTTTCCCAGTTTGGAAACATATTCTTTTCCAGCCAACGTTGCTTTCTATCCTTTCGTTACCTCCCAAACCACTTCGTTTCTTATCCGTTTTCTAGGTTTTCCTTGTTCTGTAACTGGCTCAGTTTCTATATCAAAATTCTCCTCTACTCTCTGATCATTATCAGTCTCATTTTCCATGTTGTTTGTCTCTTCATCTCTGTCACTTTCTTCTTCGCTCGTGAGAATAAAGTCAGGATCATCATCACTATTATCCCCAAACGGTTCAGGTTCACTATAAACATAGTTTCGTTGTTCTGTAACTGATTCACTTTCTATGGCATTCTCGTCTTCTCGCTGATCATTATCTATCCCATTTTGCGTCATGTCCTTAGTCTCTTTATCTGTGATATCATTTTCCTTCTCGCTTATTTGAATAAAATTGGTCTTGTTTTCATCAGCATCTCTTAACGGTTCAGGTTCATTTTCCATATTACTCTCCTCTTTTCTCTGAAAATTGTATGACCTATTTTCCATGATGTTGTTTGTTACTTCATCTGCGATACTTTCCTCTTGGCTTGTGGCAATGAAGATCGGATTTTTGACACCATCGTTCTCAAATGGATGATGTTCATTATCAACATGGTTTTTCTCAACTATTAGTATTACTCGTTCTTCTTGGTGTACTGATTATCCTGAATTGCTGAAAAATAAAAAGAGTAAAAACAGGAGGAACCTAGGTATAGTTTCTTTAATGATGTGACTAGGATAATATTAATAATAATAATTATTATTATTATTATCTGATTACTAATTATTAATATTACACCTATTTGATTACACCTTACAATTTGATCTAAACTATTTATAATTAACTGGCACTGATTAATCCAAGGAATTTACTACAATAACATCCCTATCATTGATTGACGAGACGTTAGGCATTTCTAAAAATTTAAATAAAGCTCAATGGTAAACAGTAGTATCTCCAATAATAATAGGTAAAGGAAAATTAGGAAAAAACAATTAGAAATGGATCATTTAAAACTATCCTAGCACACTGCAAAATGTCATAATTTATCATTTAATAAACAATTTTAGAGATATTGTATTCTTTAAACAATATTTTTTATCCCAACCTAACTTTGTTGTTATTATGTAAAAAATATTGCTTTTTAAATAATTTCCAACTTACCTCGCATATTAGGGATACCAGAGGGGTTATTACTAGGATCTCTTATAAGATTTAGTATTTTTTGGGCTCTTGTTAACATTTTGGGGCCTCTTGTTGACATTTTGTGGCACTCTATTTAACCGCCAACATGAACTATGGATTAATTACCAATTTGGTATTTATGGAAACTTGACTGCGCATAATTGCATGTTGGATATACGATTTTTTACCTCTTTGAGAAGTGGATATGCTATCGTTTCTAAACGTAGTATATCAGAACATAATAATAATAGACATAAGACTTTTTTACCACTAAAAAAATACGGACTCATGTATTTAAGTCAATGCATTATCTCCATTTAATAAAAAAATGGAGATACGATCATTTACCACCAAAGTACAGATCTACAATTAAAAAAAAAAAAAAAAAATAGTACGATATACGGTATAATTACGGAAATAGTTACAATTAACTTTTGGTCTGCAGACGCCATTCTAATGCACTAGGATACTCTGTCCTTAAAGAAACTACTATTATTTTATTTAAAATTATGTCGCAGGAGTGTGATACATGTCAGATGTGATATTTAACTTAACTAAAAATCCAATCTTCCATCTTCATGCATTAATTGTAAAGCCTAATTATATGCTATATTCACCCTTTTCTACTAAACCCCTAGAGCTCTGAGAAAAAAGAGTTTGTATCGGAGAGTGATGGAGAAGCTATTATTATATGCCGTGGTTCTTCGAGGGGTCTTGCCATTTGACTTACAGGTGGGGAAAAACACCATTCACCATCAACTCATTAAGGATATCACATAAAAGATTTTAACGAATGGACTGATAACAATAAAAATGATGTAATTGAAAGAATACTCATTAAATATGCCATAATCATTCGTACGCTGTAGACGCGTACCGAAAAAGAAAATATAATAAAGAAATCTTAGTTATTTATTGCTGTGTAGCCCTTTATCTTACAACCGCCACATTCGATAAATTGCTCGTATGTATCGCAGGAATGTTGGTGCTGAATAATAATCGATGTTTACAGCAGGATAATGAGAGTTTTCCGTTTTTATTAACATTCTGCTCGTATTTTTAACTGCATGTGCTTAATTCGAAATGATTCCATTTAATTTGTTACGTGTTGATATTTAAAAAAGCGTATAATATTACATATTGATTTTGGTTATTTGTGATGTTAAATATTATTTGATATAAAGCATTAAATTGGTGAAAGAACACGAAATATTTTACGAAGCACAATAAAAATACAAATTTAAAAAAAAGTTTGCGAGTTATTAAACACTTAAAATCGAAAACGAAGTCACTTCAATGAAAAAGCTTTTTCAATATTAATTTCCTTTAGATTCATTTTATTTTGTTCGTATTGATTATCAGTAACATTTTCGTCATTTTTGATTTATTTTCTTATTTGACGGTCTCTAAAACTGTGTGTTAAACCTTGAGATTCAGATAAAACTTTTTTATAGTCCATAGACCAGCGGACGTCGTATATGTTGAACAAACCACTGCACAAAAACTATATAAGTTTCGATAACCAGTTCTTTAGGAAGCGTTGATAAACTTTGATGATGTCTAATAATCACTCAGATAATAGGCTACTTAATTCAAGTACTTAAATTTATACAAAACTAATTGAAATTTTGTATTTGGTACGTTTAAGATAAGGATCGATGATTACTCCTAGTTATTTGGTATTATTTTGTAGCAATACCTATAAAAGCAGTACCATTTCTGTTAAATTTTCTTTGCTAGTATAGGCAGATATTTGTATTGTTGCAGCTAAAGAGTAGAAAATATGTTTTATTCATATGTACTTGTCGCTCAGATATAGAAAATATTCTTGTGCTTTGTTTAAAATTGATTCAGGTCGCAGCCTCATAAAAAACACCGCAGTGTCATCATTAAAATCCAGAATATTTTATGGTATTGAGACAAAATATACTATTTATATAGAACTTAAAGATAATCGGCCTTAAAAATGTGCCTTGCGTTACTCCATACTCGATAAGTTTGTCAGTACTTATTGTACCCTTAACTTTTACGGTTTGGGATTTATTATTTAAATAGTTTTCTAATAAAAGTAGATATTTTCCTTTAAGACCAATGGTTTCATACTGCTGATGACTTACCGTGTCAAAATTCTTCGTAAAATCAATAAAAGTACATAGACAAGGATTTTATTTCTCTGTCGCGTGGTGTACTTTTTCCGTAAGAGCTAATACTGCATCTTAGTAGTAGACGTGTTTTTCATTTTAAACCATATTGTGTTATGGAAATTACAAAAATTCACGATATGCTTAGGCGGAATTATATTATAGATAAGTGGAGGAGAGACGGACCACACTTTGAAAATAAAAATATTACTTTTTGTTGGGTAATGTTACAATATTACAAAAAAAAGAGGTCCACAAAAATATTCTTTGGTACATATTTAATTAAAAATTTAAATTAAAAATTTTAAACTCTGCAAAAGTCCATCTCTCCTAGTGCAGTGCTTTTTGCAATGCCCAGGAATAGTTCTGGTTCTAAAAAACCCAGATTCGGATTCACTTTTAGCAAGTACGTCGGCTTTTTCATTGCCCTCCACACGACTGTGTCCCGGAACCCAGATTAAAGTAACTTTGTTTTGGACACCAAGGCATTCTAGGATATTTATACAGTTCCAAACCAGCTTTGAGTCAACTCAGGGCCTTAAGGGCTGCCTGGCTATCTGAAAAGATCTTTATAGCAATAATTTCTGCTTGGAAGATCATGGCCAGAGAGCCTAGGTTTATTGATATGTCAACTTTAGGCCTCTGGCCAAAAACTCTCGCTCCTACTCCTTTTTCAGTTTTGGAGCCGTCCGTGTACAATGCATAGTCTGCCTAGGAAAGGGTTTTTCCCCTCTGCTCTACGCGTCTCTGTGGAATGAGGACGCTCTATGGCTTCTCTATGTGCTGTCGGGGAACTAGCGAGTCCGAGACCATGCCGAGGATGATGTAGTTATTGACTACCCACCTTTAGGAGCCTGTAGGAGACCATTCTGGACTCCATTTTCAGCAGAATGTGGAGAAGAGTTAGTTCCAGCATGGTCTCCATGGCTCCCGTAGGTGTGGTTGGCATTAGTCCAGTTATGGCGAGGCACGCAAGCCGCTGGATTTCAGCCAGCTTTGCTATGGCTATCCGTTGAAGTCCTTTGTCCCACCAGATGACATAGCCGTACGTAACTAAGGGTTTAACCACTGTTTGGTAAATCCAATAGATCAGTTGAGGACTGGTTCCCCATGCTTTGCCGCATATCCTTCTAAGGGTTCAGAGGGATAACTTGGCTTTGTTGATGGTTTTATCCAATTGGGGGTTCCAGGTAAGTTTCTTATCTAGGGTGATTCCTAGATATTTTACCTCCTCCGCAAAAGGAATGGTTTCCCCAGCCAAAGTAGGTTGTCAAAGCAAATTGTAACTTCTTTATATTAATAGCAATTTTTCTCTGTGTCTCTTCACCAAGACATGAATCTGGTCCCAATCTATTTCTTTTTTGAACATTATTGGACCATCTGTTCTCCACATATACGGTCCATCTCTTCTCTCCTGAGAGGAGTAGCTGACCAGTATATTTTTGCCGGGTAAAATATTACATTCACTTTTTGTTTAGGTTATACATATACATTCTTTAGTCATATAGTTATGCAAAAATATGGATTTCACGTGTTTCCTGTTTGAAAGTGTCTAACCGATTACCGCTGATTCTCTTGTTCTTGCTGAAGTGAATATGATGTTTGTTGAGAAAGCGTCATCTGTTGAACTAGTCCGTCCCTCCTACTGTCCTCTACTTACTCCATTCAGCCAGTACTTTGATAGTATTGGAACAAATTTCATTTATACCTGTAGATTTTTTGACTTTTAGTTCGTTTATTAAAATTTTAGAGTAAAGAATAAACTTATACGAGCAAGGTATTTTTTATTTTATATTTTTCAGCAAAATTTTTCTCTTAATAAAGTATAACTTTATTGTCTTTTATTTATTTCTTTGATGGTACTTTCTTTATTATCAAATTTACTTAAATATTTATATAGCTGCTTTGAATTATTAGCATGTCTACTTCTTTTTGCTAGTAGTTAGTACTCCCACTCTCACTGAGTTTGTTTGTTAACGAGTTGATTGTGAATTGTGTCTTCTGTGCTTCAAGGACTATTGTATAATCTAAGTAACGTACTCATAAAGCCTAAATATTAAAGTTGTTCCAATTATCCAATGGCTCCCATTCCCCTTCGATTCTCTTAAACTTGAGCCTGGCCATTTATCAGCCACGAAACATCGAAGGTATCGCTCGGATCGTTTCCAGTCCATAAACTCGATGTATGTGTTCTTCTAGGTAATCTTTCCACGTGTTCCTTTTAGCAAGACTTATGAGCCTATCGGGAATTAAGGAAATTCAACAATGCTATAGGCAAGGCAACGTTTCAAGAGTGAGTTAGGCCCAGAGAAATAGAAAGCGATAAATAATACAAAAACATTTTTTGTTTTCTTGTAGAAAAAATTAAATTAAATTATAAAATATTGAAAGAAATAGATCTTTATTCATTTGAACAAACAGACAAAATTTACATAGGTAGATATATAATGGATAAAAAATATTAAAAGGTAAATTGGAAACAGTTATGTAGTCGAATATATTTTTATTACCCATATTTGAGCTTCGGTCAGCAAAACAAAAAAACATGAAAAATCAAGCAGGATACAGAAAACATGATAAAATAGACAGAGTATAAATAGTGATATGGAAATTTCTAGTAGGTCAGTTCAAGTCAGAAATATATTTGTTGTCAATATTTGTATACATCAGCAATATTTAGGTGGAAGAAAAATTGAATTTTTTAAAAGAATAAAATTAAGAAAGGGTTGTTATGGGGATGTCAGAATTAGTAATACTGAGAGTGTCAAATTTGATTAAAAAGCAGAAGGGGAATGGTAATGAGTTGTTGTAATTTATATGTAATAAATTTAGTGAGAAAGTAATCCCAAAATGTCATTTTCCAAAATAAATATTGAAAGCAAAGGCAGAGATGGAGCTAACTTAAGCAGAGGAGAGTATTGTAAAGATAAGTAGACCAGCAACGTAGATATAAAACAGAGACTATTAGGAAGAAGGGTAGACACCAGCAGGAAGTAGTAAGTAACAGGTGTACACACAGAAGAGAAGGAAGAAGAGCAGATAGAGGAGCTTAACCCACTCTATTATTGAGATTGCTTTTTGATTGTAAATTATAAAATCCTGAGATAAATTTCAATGTCAATAGATTAAAACATTAAAAAATATGTTGCAATTCCTAAAACTTTAAAATACTTAACCAGCTCAATATAATTTGTCCACCAATGTTTGAATCCTCATTGTCATATACAAAAAGTGTACTACTTTTAGCTATCGATTTACATACAACCGCAAGAATAGGAAGAAGTTAATATTTATTTATTTATTTATTTATTCAAAATCCATACAGGCTTTTCAGCCTTATTACATGGATAGTATAAGATAATAACAAAATAATTAAGAACTTAAAATTAAAAAATGACATACCTACTAAAGCACTAAATTATAAATAATAAAAGCTAGAAAGGAGAAAAGAAAAAGAAAAAACACGAAAACAACACAATTTCACCAAACAATATCAGATCATATACTCATAATTTCAAAATAATGTAGAAGTGTTTTCCGATATTCTTGATATGACATAGTCCAGTCTAAATTCCGCATCATATTTCTACAACTATTATTATATCATAATTACCTTCTAAAGTGTTCGCATAAAATTCTGCCGTTTTCGTGTTCAATCCCCTACAGTTCTGATATGCTATTGACAATTTTGACATACCTACCTATGAAAAACCTATATAGTGAGTTCACCTGAATAATAAAATACAAAGAAAAACGTGATAGTAGTAGCAGTAACAAAATACTACACATGTATTATCTTTAATTTAGAAATAAAATAGAAAAGAAAATTGAATTCAATGAATATATAATTTTAGTTTTAGAAAAAACTAATATTGAAATTTAAAACATATTTAAAAAATAAAAAATTAGAAAGTGGAAAGAAAATTTATGTAACAAATGTTTGTTTTAAAATATAACAAATAACAACCAACCGATATTTAAATCTCATAGAAAACCTGAAAAAAAATTTTAATGAAAGCAGCAATTATTTACAAGTTTAGTAATAAATAATTACTCAAATAACATTTGACATTTAAAAATACTCTCCAAAAAATCATTTTGAAATTATAGTAATAATTAAAATAACAACTTGCAATTAAAATCCCATCTCAAATATAACATAAACAAAATTAAACTTGTGGTCGTGATCTATCTAGAAAAGAAGGAAAACAAACATTTTTTTTTTCTAAAATTCACAATAGTTCCAGTTCATTTTATTCAGCGTATTACTTAAAAGTGTCCATACACTACCCAGTAGAATCGGTTTAGATATCAGCTTCACAAATTATTTTCTTAATACCATCGTTTTGTTTCATAAATATATCTCCATTTCGGCTCCAAACTTCATTTTTGCCGTATTTATTTTTAGCTTTCATTAGAAGGTTGTAGCGTTTGTTGATTAAATTTTCATTAACAAATATTCCAGTCTGTTTCAGGGTTCCTTTTGATTTAATAATTTCGTTCCTTTTTAAGTAAGATACAAATTCAATTATTATCGTTCTAGGTTTACCTGATATATCTGAAATTGTACATTTAACTTTCATCGTATTGTTTACCAAATTAGTAAAAATTGACAACAAGTTTTCATTTTCTTCTTCCTTAATTCCATTAAAGCGAAGCGAATTTTTTCTTTTAAAAATTTCAAATTCATCACATTTATCATGTAATAAATTTATTTCTTTTTCATTTGGTTTTATACAGTCTTTCAGTTCCACAATCTTAGCAGTAACTTCGTTTATCTTAGATTCCATTTTATCAAATCTTTTATCCAGTTTTTCATCTAATTTTGATAAAATTTTTTAACATACCTTAATAATTAGTTGCTCGATACCATTTTCATCCAACCCTGTACCAGATTGGCTTGCACTTCTTGTTTGTTTTGTAGACATCGTACGTGTGTGGTACGCTATATTTACAATATTGCTAATATTTCAATAAATAATGGTTTTTTCTGTTAAATTTTTTTATGCGTTGGTAGAATGCACTCACTTTGCAACTATGTTTAATTATAAATAATATTTATGTTCAATTTACCACTAATTTGCACAGATATTCAGGAGCTCTCACTACTCGTGCTTTACTCGGTCGCCATGTTAAAATAATATAAGCTATGCAGATCTGTCATATTTATACCAAATGATGGAGATAGAGTAGGAGTATAGCACTAGTGAGCTTTCAAAAATTCTCATGCAATAGCTGTAACGCGCTAGCACAGAAAGGGGTAACCATCAGTCCTATTTTAAGGGATAACGGCTACCCTCAAAAAAAGGATACTAATAAAATCTCTAAATACCAACATATGACAAACAATAAATTGTAAACAAATGGTAAGACGAGATCATTTCTTCTTTTACTTTGAGATTCGTAAACTTAGATTTTTTAACTGTTCCAGTAGTAATATCACTGGCTAGAAACCTAGATAAAAGACTGACAGTTGATTCTGCTATGAATAACCTCTTATTTCGTTTCCAATTTTCCCGCGATTTTTGATGAAGAAACTTGCATGCTGCACATGAGTGCATATTCGATTTTCGGATTTTGAGCTAGTTTTTTGAAGGAAAACTACTCACTTTATTGTTGGATTCGTTCTAATCTCCAAGATTGGAAAACAATATTATAGACATTTAAGGCCCCATTACACATGTGATGAGTAACTAACCTGTCTTAAATTATGAAGTAGGCTTATACATTTATATATTTACCCTTTCGTCTTGCTTTTAGAACTCTTTCTTTCTCTCTTTCCTTTTCGTTCTTATCTGTCTTTCTATCTGCCTTTCTTAGGGTTAGATAATTATTGATACTACATGTCCGCATTTTAAATGCTGTTCCTAGCTAATAAAAAGTACCCTGGTACCTGTAGAAGCTAAACCAGAGGCTGTAATCTAATAAAGACGATAGTGATAACCTGGGCTATGTTCTAATCAAGTAAGATATTTCCTCTTATTCGTTACAAATCTGGAAGCGGTATTGTGTTAAAGACTATTTTATATAAGTACGGCTTAAAATAATAGTTAACTAATTAAACCTTAATTTTATAATATTTATCACTTACCACTAGTGTAAACCAATTAGTATCGATACACCTTCGGTTTACTGTACGATGATTTATATTAGTACGCCACTGCTTCTTATCACTGCTTTTGTATTCTTTCTTATTTTTCAATAATTCACACGTTAAATAAACACTTTGAAGTAATATATCATGCTAAAGAAATTTGTTTGAGCTAGCTCTACAAATTTGAACTCATCTTACTTTCGGTTTCATCAATACGATATCATCTAACATACAAAATGGGTCCTATGCCGCTTCTTTGTGGTACTTCTGCATTAGTTTCTTTTAATACAAAGTATGCTTCATCTTGTTTTATTCTAAATAATCTAAAACGTATGAATCCAGTAAGCTCTGAGTATGGCTGTGGAGTGTGGAAGTAGCACATTTAATCCATCATGCCATGCTTTATCAAAAGCCAGCACAACATAGAGAAGGACAGCTAAAGATTCTTTATTTTCTAAAGCTTTTTAAATCGTATTTGAAATTCTATAAAGCTGATCTGTAGGTGAATGGTTTTTCCTTAAGCCAAAAGGATAATATGGAATTAGTTTCCTTTTTTCAATGATCGATTTTAGCTTTTTCGTTAGAATTTTTTTAAATAGTTTCGACAGTATAGGCAATAGAAGATATTGGCCTATATGTTGAAACTTTCGTTTGGAGGTTTTCCTGGTTTGGGGATCATAATAACTTTAGCTACTTTCCACAACCATCTTAGGTTGTAGGTATTTTTAACCCTTTTCTAGCAGATTCGGCAATTTCAATAATGTCCCTAAAATCATAAACAGAATTTTCTTCTTATAATGTTGCCATGGATTCCATCTGCGGTCATATGGGTGTGCCCTTAGTTAACTATTTTATAGTTACCATTTTAGGTCCTTTTGGGGGAATTAACAACAGAAATTATAAAAGAGTAAATTACATAATTTTCATTTTGACTTAAGCAGTTATCGGCCCAAAAGAAAAATTTTTCTGCACCTCTTTTAGTTTCTATCACTTGCATAACTGCATCCCCAATAAATTCCGCTTTGCAACTTCCCAAAGCCTCGTGCCAAAACACACAATAACTACTGTTATATAAATCCTGCTTTAATGTTGCAAATGTTTCATTAAATACAATTAACCTACTTGTGAAGAAACATGATTTATTCTGTGTCATAATAGGCAAGATGATTACTTTTTGCAAGTCCATTGAGTAAAATCTAATTTTTGGACAACCAGCTCCTGCATTTTGTGCCTTTTCTTTGTACTGTTTTAATTAATTTTTTGGTGCCTTTTTCAGGTATTCATTTTCAGCATCTTTTATTTTATTTATTCGACTTTGGCATATAGAAACTTATATTTAAATCCTTAATGACCTTTCTGTAAGTTTCCACGGAGCATTTTATATTTGGATTTTTTCTTTACAATCCCTAAACATAAAAGTTTACGTTTAGATCGCGAGACAGATATTTAATATTTGGTGCATTTATTCTCCTATAGTGGCTAACACAAGGATAAAAGGAATTTATAATTTTATCAATTTCCAAATTTGATTTGGGGTGAATACTCTTCCTTTGCGTTACCATCTTTGGTGTATCCTTTATTGTTGCCACCAAATGCGTTATAAGTAAGTCATTTCTATAACCTAGCCTACTTAGAAATGTAAATCTGCAAACTTTTTCTTCTCTTCCATCTGGTAGTGGTAATAAATACACTTTAGAATCTTTTACAGGTTTTTTAGTATTAACTAATCTTCTTTTTACCGGAACCAGTGTAACATACTTGCTTACCCACTTTCGTCGTGCTGCGTAGCCCAAGGACCAAAAATCTTCCCAAATTTTTTTCTTATTTCCTCCGTCAGTTCACTACATCGTTGCCTGCATTTTCCGTTGCATTTTTTTAACATTTCATGTTTCTTTTTAGCTATTTCAAGAATATTCTTTTTGTCTCTTTTTAAAGAAATTTTATTTTTATGTTTGGCTTCACTTTTAATCCTTCATCGGTTTCTTTCCCTTGTTGTACTGCACGCTTATAAATCCTCTTTGGCTAATAACGTTGGAGGCGAACATTCTTCGGGAATACTAATCTTTTCTTGTGCAAAACTACTAATTAATACAAGTTTTACACTTTTTTGGAGGGGAAAACAGCATAAAAAGAAAGTAACTGCATATTAAGAATTCAAGTAATTGCAATGCAGTTACTTTCTTTTTATTTGGTAAAGTGCATTTACTTTATTAAACCCTTAACCAAAAAAACTGTTAAAATTCAAAATAAAAACCAAGTAACTGAAATTCAGTTACCTCCTTTTTATATTGTGAAATACACTCACTTTGTTTTTACTTTGAAAATATCTTAAGTACAGGTAGTTACTTGGTTTGACTGATGCTATATCTTCGATGTTTACTGTTCGATTCCAAAGATATTTGTAATGAAATGTTCGTAAGAACAGAGCAAGGTCGGTTAACGTAAAAACTCAATTTTTCAAAAAATGTTAGTTACCTGATTTTTATTTTGGACAGCCCAAGTTCATATTTTGGTCAGCCGGCTACTAATATATTTTTTAAATTCTGTCAAACTAATTTTCAGTATATTTCTTAATTATTGAGATTAAATCTACGTGAGTTATTCTTGTGTAGAATAGATAAATAATGGCATTTCTATTTTTAATTTTGTCCATATTTACAAATAAATTTTAATAAAACTATATGAAACTAAAAATTTAAGTGTAGCAATGGAGGGGAGGTTTAAAAAATTTAATAAATTAGTTTGGCAAATGGATTCAGATTCCGCAGCCATAGTTCTCGAATTCACACACACACACACACAATGGAGGGGAGGACATGGATTTTGTCTTCCATGCTTTTATAAATTAGTAAATCATCAATTACTTTAAAATTAGTTATTTTGTTTTAATAACCTAAAATATTTATTTATATTTGTAAATTTTTGTTAGTGAATTGTAGAAATATTATACTGTACAACTCGAGTGGATTGTCCATATCCACTTTTGTTCTAAAATAAATATTGATCGTTCTTTCAAACAAACTGTCTATTGGAGCAAGAGCAAAATATAAACGCGACATTTCCCAATACCTATCCCATTGGTTTATTTTTAAAAATCCATTCTTTTAAAAGGCAAAATCTCCGAATTACATTGAGAAATAACGCCAGAAACAAGCGAGAGCAGCTCAAAACCCGAAATCAATAAACGCTTTACTTTACAAGGAAAATGTAAAATATCATCAGGGAAAGTTAAAGTCAAAATAACATTTTATCGATAAATACGTAGAACCTGGAACTAAGCTTACAACTTTGCGGAAACTATTTTCTAACAAAAAGTTATGGAAGAAAATTCAACTTAGCGTAACTTATGTTTCCAGGGTTTACTAACTTGAACGTAATAAAGAAAAAAGAATCAAAGGATTTTGTTAGTTTCTCTAGAGGGAATAAATTTGTCGTAACCATCTTTGAAAATACGTAAGATGATAAATTATAAGCCAGTTTAACTAACTATAAAGGGTAAATCCTCACGTGTGGATTAAGAAGTTTTAGGGAACCGTTTCTGATTTTTGTTTTGTACAAATTTCTTCGATTCTTTAAACCATTATTTATCTATTTATTTTCTTTTTTTGTGCCTTATTTAACCTTATTTTTTAATCTTTAAGAAACTAATGCCAAAAATACAAAAATAAGAATGAAAATCCTATAATAATAATAATA